GAGCGAGACGATCCCTCCGTTCGGGATTTCGCAACTGTGAGTCCCGGCCACTCGCACTGCTGAATTTGGCGTGTTGATCCGCTTACGAATAGATCATCCGGCTGGCCTTCCGTGTCGTAAGAGGCGACTAATAGTGCCCTGAAATCAAGCAACTCGAGAGAGCAGTGCGAGACAAAACCTAGAGATTACCGAAGAAGAAGACCATCGGGTGGTCATGGCCGTATTGGAGCCGTGTTGGGTCCAGGTGTTATTATAACACGAAGTAGAAGCGGTGCTGAATTAAGGATCGCTGCGAAGTCGTTCAAATGTATGATGAGTTTGTTGGCTCCTGGCTCCAGTCCGGATCCAATACGGCCACGTTCAAATGTAAGAACGTGGGATTTCTTTCCGCGCAGCTGCACCTTCTCTACACCCTGTGCACCTAAGGTGAAAAACGAACGTACTACGATTAAATGTCGAAAAGAGAAAGAGGGGAAACAGGCGAAACGTTCAGCCGCGAGGTGTACTATATGTACAAACAACATCTTGACAGAAACGAGATATTTGGTGCTTTCCATTTAGCGGGGCGAGCCGACACGAGCTGTCTTGCTTCAACGTCCAGCGAACAATTGAAGAACAAACGACACTTGTGCCGGTAAATGGAGAGCACCGATTGACGTTGGGCTCGTTCTCGGGAGCTGCACTCTGCTGCACTGTCTGCACTCGAACTGAAACAGACGTGTAATTAAACGCTGGCGAGAAAGAGAGGGGGGGGGGGGAGCGAAGAATAGAAAATGTTTCAGGAACAAGTAACCATGCAGTCATCTAGCGGGACAATCGGAGATTCCGTCGAGATGCCCGCATCTCACGCTCGCGATAATTTCGCACATATGCAGCGGCTTTTACGGCGGGGACGACTAGATTCGTGAAACGAAGGAGGCGATCGGCGTCTCTCATCCGTCGTCAGGACTCCGCCGACGTCGGCGACGTCATCGAGACGGGTAGAAACGGCCCGGGGGCTTGAACGTCAAGCGGGGAACGTTCGTCAGCGCCGGCAAGGCGGACGCGACAGCGCGCAGCCCACGGTGCAATCAATGAGCGCATATTGATCTCAACCTTTCGCCGGCGTTGGACACCGGCGGCGTGGCGGATCGCCACGCGCGGCGTGGCCGCGTATCGCGCCGGGATCTTCCCGGAGGCTCGCGCGGCGAGGGGCTCGAACGCGAGTCGCAAGCGCGCGCGAGCGAGACAGCTCGCCCGCCCCTCGGATTCCGCGCCAAGATTTTCGACGCGCGCGCGTCGTCCGAGACGCGAAAGAGCGGAAAACGGGGCATCGGCTTCGTCGCAGGCGTCTACCCGCTTCTACCTGGAAACGTTACGCGCTGTAGAACGCGATAAGATTGCCGCTTCTACCTCAATATTGACGGAAATTTTAGAATTCGAGCTGTACGCAGCTGCGTTATTTCCCTCGCGCAAATCTGTGAGAAAATTTTTCTTGCGCGCTGCTTGCGATTAGATTAGGTAAATGAGAGGCAGGCAGTTGATCTGCGCGCACGTGATAGACAATAAAAGATTTTAATACTGTCGACTCTTATTCTAACTTTCTTAGGACGAAGGAAAAGGTGGAAGGTACACTTGCCGGTCCAAATAGCTCGGGTAATCGTTATAATATTCCTAGTAGCACGTGCATTGGCTAAACGTTTAACCCAATGTTGGTTATATTAGAAATGCATGGGCCGATATTATAAATAAATGTAAATTTGCATGATAATAATTATTGTATAATATTAGCCCACCCAGTGAGAAATGACTCGTCGATCGTTGTCGAAACGATATCGAATCGACACCGTCAAATTGACGTCGATCGACGAATCATTTCTCACTGGAAGATTTATATTGAAAGTGCATGGACCAATATTTAACAATGTAATAAGAATATTGGTCTAACATTGATACAATACTAAACCAATATTGCTAAATAAGAGAAGACGTCCACCTTGCAATATTGGACCAATGTTGAGAATATTAGATTTACATTTTTCTCCCAATATTGCGCCAATATATTGTGTCACTATTTTGAAATTAAGAATATTTGCACTCCAGAAGAATATTCATAGAACTATATATGTGTGCTTTCTGGGTAACATTCGATTACATTCAATTTCAATGTAAATAAATAAGGTCGAGTTTTTCCAACTTGGTAAGATATAACTAATAGTACAATCATATGTCTATCTTTGCCTAATTTGAAGGAAAATCAAAGTCCTATATATGATCTGATTACGGATTGAGATTGAGATTAGATTGAAATTTGACCAGTCAGAGTAAAATTCACTAAACTTTAGATTAGTAAACTTTACTGATTGGTTAAATTTCAATCTAATCTCAATTCCAATCGGTGGTCTGATACGTACTATAAGACGTTAATGTTTTCTACTTGACGATTAGGCATTTCGCGTCGGACGCATCACGTCTAGATATTCATGCATTATGACTGTTGCTCCCAATAGAGTTATCACATTTGGCAGCCGCCAAACAGCTGTTACAGTTTCGCGTATTAAAATTACATATAAGATTGTTCCTCGGGATGTAATATATATATATATATATATATATCTTCTCCACTTAATCTTCCATCGGTCTAATTGCAGTAATATTGGCTGTAATAGTGTGTTTTTTTGTCATTGTAGCACGCATTTCTAACATCTATAAAGATAGTCGTCTCCTGCCACTCGGTTCGGCGACTGTAATCTTGGTGTACTTTTGTCAAAAAGTAAGTTGGCGAGTGTCCGTAGAAAGCATGGACTACGCATCTCCGTTAGAAAATGTCCCCAGAAGAATTGACAATGAGAGAGATGCAAAATGAGTGCGCCCCTCCATTGAGGCTCGTGCGCCTCTCCATAGGTTATTTGAATCCCTCTCTTCATCAGTTCTCTCCACTTCCGTTTTACGACGTGGAACGCGTTGAACGGAGCATTCATTCTCTGTTTCTTTCCACGATGTAAGAATGTAGAGTGAAATACTGCGCATAGTGGCGGTTGAATGCAGCAAGAACCAAGTTTTCGGACAAATTGTTCCTTGGTTCTTACCAGGAAAGTGGGTTCTTATAGAAAAATTACTTTTTAAAAGTAACCAGTTACTATTACTCGTTACCTAATTAAAAATGTAACTCGTTATCTTTACCGTTGCTTAAAAAATAACGATTCGTTACTTTTTTAATTCTGAAATGAGATCAGACACAAACTAAACCATCTATTTTTATAATAATTTTTACTAACAATTTTTAATTTTAAAGTTGTAAAACCATGAAAAATTTAAGCAGATAAATTTTAAAACGCTTAAAATATAAATAAAAGTTTTGATTCCTATGAAAAGTATAAATATAGCCACTGTTTTTTATTGTGTTCTCAATTTTTTATTCAAATTTTTAGCGGAATAATTTTAAACTTATCTTATAAATATAACAACCCATAATAATAAAAGATTATGAATATCGATCGATGCCGGAAGATTTATAAGTGTAAGAAAATATAGTTATATTTTATAACTAGGTTCGAGATATAAAAAGCAACGATGAAAGTAACTGTTAAATTCGTTACAATTACTAAACAAAAAGTAACTATGTTACCGTTACAGTTACAAAAGCAAAACAGTGTAACGTCGTTACTAAAGTCTTTTACCAAAAACGTAACTTGTAACAGTAACGGCGTTACAAGTAACGTGTTACTTCCATACCTTAAGCTGCTTTCGCGAGAGGATCAAAATGATCCAGACTAAAATGACCTTGTGCTATGATTGGTCAAATCTGGAATTTTGTTGAATAAAATTTCAATGTGATGCTATAAAATTTCAGATTTGACCAATTATAGCACAAGGTCATTTTAATCTGGATCATTTGGATCTTCTCGCGAAAGCAGCCCTGGTTCTCGCTACATTCAACCGCAATTACGCGCAATGATTTGCAGTTTAAAAGTTCGGGGCAAATTTCTACTTGATCAAAGAATCGCTATTAATTGGACGAGTCGGATCCACAGTTTCACCTTATACATTCTTAAGGCCTGTGTCCACGGTGCTAGAACTTGATCCAAGTTCTAGTTCCGAGAAATGTGTAACCAATCAACTTGCAGCTATTCCATAAAAACTGCAAGTTGATTGGTTACACATTTCTCGGAACTAGAAGTTGGACGCAGTTGTAGTATCGTGGACACAGACCTTTACAGACCCACGGGCAGTGGCAGAGTCTCGAAATCGCGAGTTCACTTGCGGCAGTGAACGCGGGCGACGCGACGCCGGGTTATTACGCAGCAGCCATGTTTGAACGCGGCCAAGTGTGGCGCGCTCCGCCGATGGTTGAACGCGACGGCCGACAGGTGGCGCGCGCTGGTCTGCGCCGACCGCCCGGATTGGCCGCTTCGAAAGTAGTGCCAGACATGTGTCTCGTTTCCCGCCTCCGGTGGCGGCTTGTGTTGTGTGTTGCGCGTGGGGGAGGGGGGAAGCGGGAGGGAATCGTCGGGCGGGAGGGGGTTGGCGCGGGGGGGTAAGAAGAGAGAAGAGGAGAGGACACCGCCGCACAAGTCCGGCGAGTCGGCGAGCGTAGAGACACGTAGAGAGACGCGGCGCGTTAAGGGCCTCTGCAGACCGGAATCGAACCGCGGGTGTCGAAGGTGATTTTTCTCGCTCCCCCAGTGTCCTCCGAGCACGCCACGGGAAGAAGCCGCGCGACGCGCACGCAACGTCAAAGCGGGCACGCCACGCACTGCAGCAAAGGATCGGGTGGCATTCTCAGCTTCGTCGTCCGCGCGTACCGCCCGGTGACCGACCGTGTTGGTTTCGGCTCCGTGTGTCCGTCCGTCATATTATATTCCCGGTCCCCTGAGAGAACGCGAGGAAGAGAGAGAAAAGGAGAGGAGAGAGCAAGGTTGCTGGCACGTAGTCGGCGTAGTGTTGCGACGCAGCGAGGAGGAGGCAGCGGCGGAGGAGGAGACGGAGGAGGAGGAGGAGGAGGCGGCGGCGGCGGCGGCGGCGGCGGAGGAGGAAGAGGAAGAGGAGGAAGAAGAGACGGACGGCGGTACGTGCGCGTACGGAGCGGAGCGAGGCGAGAACGAGCGGATCGAGGACCGACTGGCCGGCCATGGAGAAGCGGATAGAACTCGAGAAGCGGGGAAAGAAGCCCGGCGACGTAAGACAACCCTCAGATTTCTTTTTTACCGCGCCGCGCGCTCACCCCCGCCCGCCCGCCCAATCTTTATCTCTGCTGCACTTTCCTCTCCCCCTCCCCCCATCCCCCGCGTGTGCGTGTGTCCCTCTTACGACGTGCGGTCTCGCGTTTTCGCACGCGCCACGGTGGACCAGCATGCGTTTACCATCGGCGTGCCCTGTGTCTTCCCCTCCCCTCCTCTCTCTCTCTCTCCCCGCGTTTCGCAAAATTTCAATCGTGCGTCCTGCTTCTCGTCGTCATTAATCGCCTTGGGAATCTCTCGCGGTTCACCAACGCCGCGCTAAACAGCGCTGCTTCGTCGTGGCCGCGAAAGAGAAAGAGAGGGAGAGAGAGACGGGCAGAATCGCCGCTGTATTGCCTCGACGCTACGGCGGCGACACAACAACCACGCACTCGCTCTGCTCGCTCAATGTGGCAAGCCGTTCTGGCCGCACACTTCCGTCTGTGTGTCTCTCTTTCTCGCTTTCCCGCGCCCTTTCTCGTTTCGAACGCGAGTGAATCTCGTCCCGTGCGGCTGCGACCGCGTGGTCGGGGCCTCGTCGCCGATCGAGGGACGGCATATGCACGCACTGACGATGCATGGCCGCGAACGAGGAGCACGGCGGCAACGGGCATGGCGCACCGTCACGCCGGAGAGAACCTGTCGGTGCCCCTCTCTCTCTCTCTCTCTCTCTTTCTCCTGCGCGGCCGCCGCGCGCGCCCTCTCTCTTTCTCTGCCTCTCTCGCGCGAGTAAAAAAAGAAACGTAGCTCGTGGCGTTCCGCGCGTAGTTTCTATCGCGGTGTCCCGGCGGGCCGCTCCATTTCTCCCGTCTTCGTCTTCCTTCCTTCCTGCCTTCCCGCTTCATTTGCTTCGCCCCGCGGCCCGACCGCGCTTCACTTCGCTTTGTTGGCCCCTCCCCCCCCCGGCGGTGTGTCGGCCGCCCGCGGAAGTGATCTCGATCGGCGATCGGCGTCGCTCCGCCGAAATAAAATGGTACGCGGCTCCGCGTGGCTAACCCGTTCGCGCTCCCACCCGCGATCCTCTCCTCTCGCCCGCTCGCTTTCTTATCGCGCTCCGCGACGCGGGGGGAGGGGAGGGTGAGATATCTCGCCTCGCGTCTCGTTACGTTCGCGGGCGCGCGTGCACGCGAGGCGAGGCGAGGACCCCGGAGGAGTTTACCATTTTTCCGGCGGCGTGGAAAGCGGGAAGAGGCACGCGCGACACCGGGCCGCGCGCGCTTCTGTCTCTCCATGCGCGCGGCCGCGTTGATTAATGGTGGATTCTCACCGACGTCGTCGTCGTCGTTGTCGGCCGACTTTACTCCCCGGACAATTGATCGAGAGCTCGATTCTCCGCCTCCTTCCGGATGATAGCGCTGGCCTGTGCAATATAAATGAAGACGGATCCGCTTCTCTTTTTCGCTCTCGGCCCCGCGACTTTGCGTTTTTTTTTCCTCTCTCGCATTAATGAACCGGCGGCTCCTCCGCGGTATCGCGCGATTTAATTTCTCGCGATAAACCGTATCGGTGTTGCGCGAGCTACGCAGAACGTAGACATCGAACGCAGTTATAATTTAACGTGTCGCGTCTGCGTGTGCCTTGGTCTCGCGCGTGTAGCTGCAGTTTAGATATAAACAAGCGAGCCATTTTGCATGCCTGCGCCAAGTCCGGCCCTTTTCGTCTCACCCACTCGCACGATTTTATTTCTTGCTCGATAACTCGTGCGAATTTTACAAAACGCCACGTGACTTTTCTTTCTAGCTTGTCCCAATCTCCCTCCATCTCTCGGCCGGTCACTTTTACGTCGGACACTTTATATATATACGTATGTAAATGCGGTTCTACGCGAATTCCTCCTTCCGGCGTTTACCGACGCCGCACATACGCGGGCGGGTTGACACCCAAATCCGAGATTGATTCGAGACTAATTTCCCGCCACGACGACGAACGATATCTAGGAGCGAGTGCGGCGAACACGCGTCTCTCGGTTGTGTTTTCCCCCCGTGTGGATTCCGCACGGGAGCGCGGGCCCATAAAATTACCGATGAAACTTGCGTAAGTGCTAAATTGTGCGCTCGAATGAATGGCAATCTGTGAGCGCCCGGGAATGAATCACTTGGCGCTATTGTGTGAAAAATCGCGCCGCCGTTCCCAGTTAATTTGTATCGCTTGTTCTTGACTGGAAATCAATCTGCTTAGATCGGTAACACCGAATTACGTAACCCGATGCGCGGCGTGCGTGTATTATATATGTATGCGCGTCCGCGGTTTAAATGCGCGAAACGAAAATCGTTGTGACGTGACGAGATAGGCTAATTAAATCAAGCCGCGGCCCGCGGCATGGTGTATTTTTAGAACAAATTTGCAAAATGGAATCAATCCGTTTCAATGTCCGCGGACCGTTTGCGTACGCACGCGCGTGTTGACGGTAGTAAAATGTAATTGAGAGACAGGGCGCCGATGCGGTGCCATAAATGTGATTAGAGTTAATCAGCGAAATACTTGGATAATGGATTTTCCGCGGATTTCACCGCGGACGAAACGCGCCGGATTCTCCATTAATGGCCGCGACCGTGTCCACTAATTAAACGCGAAGAACCGAATAATAATCGTCCCCCTCCCGAGTTTTGTCATAAATACGCGCGATACGTCCGCTAAGTGGCGATTAATAGAGCTCGCTCGTGAGATTTCGGGACACTTCCCGCGCGACTAATGTTACAAATCGAATCAATGTATGCGGGAGAGTCATCGAGATCGAGAACGATTTGGACGCTGCGTATACTCGTCTCTCGAGCGAACTGTGTCGAGACTTCGGCTTCAATGAATCGAACTTGAACCATTATTTTCGGGCGTCCTTTTGCGTTGATTAATATCTGCAAATTACCGTGAAAGCCTGAACTTCGTAATGGATGTCTCGACAGTCTATTCAGATATTTAAAGAAAATTAAATTAAAAATGGCAAAAATAATATAAACGAAGCTCCTAGGATGAACAGTAATTCAAACAGTAAAGTCAAAGTAAATTTAAAAAACGCAGGAGAGCGGGATGTAAGTGCTAAAAGTGTACGTGTTTATTAAATTGTCTATAATATTGTGTGTTCTAACAGCGTTAATACGAATCAAGTTTTAGTACTGAGGAAGGCCTGATTTGTCCACTTGCTTAAAGAAATGAAACTTACAACAACTTGAAACGTGTCAAATTTAAGACGCGGCAACGCGCTATTCGCACAGACGACAGAAATAATTTCCTCGCAACGTCTTCCCCGATTAAAAATACTTGGTATCTTTAGCAGAGCTAAAACCATTGCCGATAGAATTTGTTCTGTGTTTTAGATACACGGTTCTTTTTTTTATTTTCCGTGTTCGAAGCGCGATCTTTCGCGAGACATCTTTGACGCACGTGGAGCGTTTCCTTTTCTCAAAATGCATTCTTCCTGGCTGTAATAAGGCAGAGGCATGACACCGCTCGGTGATAATGATCGTTCCCGGGGATCTTTGCAATTTGCGACATCGATCGGTATAAAAAGGCCGCGACGAGGTGCAGCCTTTCCCGAGCGAGCGTCGAAACGTCGCACGTCTCGGCTAGAAAGCTCCGCAATGTTGTTAATACTGGTTCTACCCGCTGGTAAATCTACTAACGGTGTCCCGTACTTTTGGTCAGTCCGAAAATATCGACGTAAGCATCGCTCCGGCGACTTAGCACCTATTGACATTTTGTCATCGAGGTGTGTTAAAGTGCAAAGGACACTTGCTTGGCGCGGTGGTCGTGCGCAGTTCGCGGAGAAAGTTCCCGGGTCCCGAAAAAGGCGTCTCGTTCCTTTTTCCTTTTACGCCGAAGGGCACGTGTGCCGATCGAATTTAAAAAATAATTGAAGCGACCCGATGCGACTCTGTCGCTGGACAGAACCATTTTCTTGCACTTTCCAGAGATCGTGTCCCCCCCCTCCCCCCCTCTCTCTCTCTCTCCCCCCTACCCTTCTCTGACGACACGTCGCATTTATCGCGGCGGTAGAGATCGTTACGTGATACGCGTGAAGAATTAACGCGACATATGTTTACCCGATTAATGTATTTTTTAGCATCGAGGCGTCGCCACCGATGCCCGCCGCGCGAAAAAGCGCGTTGCGCGCGCGGCGCCGAGCGGCGGCCGCGTTATGTAAATGAGACGACGAGGCGCGCGCACGCGGCAACCTGGACGTCGCCATTGCGCCGTGGCGTGCGGCGTGGCGCCGCGGCCGCGTCGCGACGTCGACTCGCGCGGCGTCGATTGCCGCGCGTCGCGCCTCCGCGTGCGTGCGATGCGTAAGCGCGCGCACGCGTGAACGCGACTTGCCGCCGTTGCGCACCGGGCCGCGTTCCGTGACGCGTCGCCAATCGCCGCGCCGCCATCTTGGACGAGTCCACTTTGCCGGCTGATCCGCCGCCAGCCGGCACGCGCGCGCACGCTTCGCGCGAACGAATTTTTTCGCCGCGGCGGCGCAACGCATGGCGACGCCACGCAACGCGGAGCAGCGCGACGTAACGTCACGTCGCCGTGGCGTGCCGCGCCGAGTCGAGCCGAGTCGAACCGAGTCGAGTCGAGTCGAGCCGAACCGAATCGAGCTGCCTGCTCGGCCGATGTTGGCCGGCATCGCCCGACTTTCTCAGGTGCATTGCTGCGTCGCTCGCGTCTCTCTGTACCGCGCGTAGGCGTTTCGCAGAGCCGTATCTAGGGTGTGGCGTCGCTCAAAACTCGCTAAAAATTATGTCACCTCGGCAAGACCGTCAATGTCTCGAAACAGATGCCAGATTCTCGAATTTATTCGCGAGAGAAACGTACGCGCGAATTCTGCTCTTACAAAAAAGTTGCAAGTTGATTGGTTGCCGCATGGTTTTTAGCCACTCGAAGGAACATACGCGCAGGTTTTGAGGTGTATTCCGATATGCGTCTAAATTCATTTCGTTTGCATCGAGTTGCGAGCTCAAGATTCAAGTTCGACGAGTCGGATAAGGTTTGATTTTAAGATCCAGTCTCGCTTCGATTGGCCGAATCTCCGATTCGCAATCCTCAATCTCCAACGCGCGGCCCGATACTTTATTAAGGCATTGACAACTGCGTACGTGTAGAATCGCCGGACATTCCGTACAGTTATTTCTATACTGACAATAAGACGAGAGAGAACGGGGGCAAATCTCGTTCTGACGTAATTTACTGTTACGAATCATCCTCGTTCCTAAATGTCCAAGTTAAACAGATGTCGGGTTCACGTGCTAACTAGAGACCCTATAATCAGAGACTGGCCGTAAGAGTTCGTCAAATTCCTGCGAGTAAAGCCAACGGCACACGATACTATTTCCCCCCCCCACCCCAATGGATTGCTTACGAGAGCCAATCAGGATACAGTGATTTGAGTCACCTGATCGAAAACTCTGTATTGTGATTGGCTCGCGCAAGCAATCCAGTAGGAGAAATAGTATCGTGTGCCGTTGGCTTAAAGGCCTGTGTCCACGATGCTAGAACTTGATCCAAGCTCTAGTTCCGAGAAATGTGTAGCCAATGAACTTGTAGCTTTTATGGACTAGCTGCGAGTTGATTGGCCACACATTTCTCGGAACTAGAACTTGGACCAAGTTCTAGCATCGTGGACACAGGCCTTAAGAGAGAAGCATAGGCTATCTCACTCTTGTACCATCGTAGAAACGTAGAAGAGTAAGATAATCTATGTTTCTTTCTTACTCGCGGGAATTCGACGAACCCTCATGGCCAGTCTCTGATTACAGGGTCTCTAGTGCTAACAAGTCAACAATCGCGAGCGGCTCTCTTAGATATTTACGACTGTGAAGTTTCGCCCTCTTCGCCTCGCGTGTTGACCGCCCGCGTCGGCATTTGCAATGCATCTTGGACGCGACAGTGCCGTGCCACTAGGGGGCGCGCGGGGCTCCGGTACTTGCGGGAGTTCGAGCCCTACGACGAGCGAAGGGTTGCCCCCTGCGTTTGCAAATTCGACGGATTTAGAAACAAGCGTAGCAGTGGCGTATCTCGTGAGGACGTAAGACGAAAGCTGCATTCCTCGGCGATGACAATAAAACCTGGCGTGGTTGCGTAAGCGCGCGCGAGGCGCATCCGTCCTTTATTACGGATACCACGCGGCAATTTCGCATTTCGAAACGTCGTGGGCATCCCGGCGACGTAACGCGCTCGCCTCCCCCCGGGTTTCTTGATCCGTGACTGTCATTGATCCGCTCCTATGACACCTCTGTGACGTTACCGCCGCGATCGGCGCAACACGGGGTAACATATAACCAGCCTGCCGACCGATTGGTCGCGTGATGTACGCAAGATGTCTGAGCGGCGAGTACGGGATGAAAAAATTACGTGTAACGCAGTCCAGTCAGATTGAAAACTAAACCGGGGGGATTCCGATGAACGGGCCACGTTGGCTCGCGAGATTTTATTCTGCTTTCGTGACGAAACTTGCGCGCGTTAAAATTATTGTATAGATTAGCGCGAAGGAACACGCGGTGGATTGTCCCCAAGAAGATTTAGACGAACGGAAATTCTTTAAGAAAAAGAAGTATAAATGATAGATGCTTGACGTGTTAATTTCTTCGTTATTGGTGATGTAACGTTGATCGTTAACAATGCTGTACCATTTTTAATTGGACATAAAGGTAAATTATATTAGTTTCCAACGCGTATCTGTATAATAGATGTACGCGAGATAGAAGCTAAGTAGTTTGAGCACTTGGCATAGAAATAATGACTTAACGTGTGAGTGAAAAAATACATGCGCGATTTATCTTCCTTATTTCTTTGTTTACCGCGAACACGAGTCAGTCTCATCTACAGATTATCGCTGATTAATGCAAAGCGATACATCGACGTGACCCAATTCGTTAGAGAAATAAATATATCGAGATATCGAACAGAAAATGTCTCAAGTTTCAATTCATCGTGTACAAGAAACGCCGCATGCTATGAATCGTACCACAAATTTTCCAAGCGTGGCGATTGGTTGCAGAATAGAAAAGTTTTCGAGTCCCTACAAATGTTCTATTTCGTAGCCAATCGATACGCTTGGAAAACGCTTGTACGACAAATGTAATACCAGCCTAAACATCGCGCGCGCGATGGCGGACGACGGCATTGGCGGGACCGATGCGAGGCGCCCAATCAAAAATCTACCCCGACAATTCTAACCCGCGGCGGCAGGAAACCTCCGCCGCCTAGGGCGGCTGGTTTTCCTTTCTTCCTTTTTTCCAAATTCAAAGGCCGCAACGCCGATTGGCCGTGCGTTCGCGCCGACAGGAATGCGAGGGATGTTACACCTCGCCTCGTTACATCATGGACGTGATAACGTAATATGGAAGCATCGATACTTCCGGCATCGAGGTATCCGGTATCGATGATGACCACCCTCGTCCCCCCTCCTCCTCTTCCTCCTCCTCCACCACCACCACCCAACCCCCCACCTCTCGCACTCGTCGCGTGCCGCAGTCCGCGCTTGTCGCTCGCCGGCTTTTCCGACGCCGCTAAACAAGACGCGGCATGCACTCCGCTTACCGTCACGCCGCTCCCCCTCCCCCACCCCACCCGCACTCTCACCCCCTCCGCCGCCCTTCATCTCCTTCCCCCGCCAGCTCTGCCCCGCGCCTCCTCTGTCCTCCTATCCAGTCCCCCGCTCTCACCCTCTGGCCTTTCTCTTTCTCCGATCAATAAAATAGCCCATCTCCCGCGAAAGCTTATCGCTCGTTTGAATTTTAGCGGAGGACGATTTTTTCGTCCACGAGCGCGGGACCGCCGTCCGTCCGTGAGAGACGCCGCGATTCCGCGCGGCCGACCCCGATTGCGATCTCGATTCGAGCACGATTTCACGAATGGACGCTCGCTCGCGAGACGCGCTCGTTTTCAAGTTCAGATTTGGATCACACTTCAGAGTGTTTTGTAAATATTTGACGCACTCTATACGCGCGGTTTTTTATTCAGAGTTGATATTAATTGAAAAAGTTGCGCGACGCAACATAACTTTCCAAGCACGCTGCGATTTAGCTGACATTGCATGGAAACCGCCTCCCAACATTTGTATGACTTTCTCCGTTTGTTCGGCTGCTCGCAAATAATTACATGATTCACGCGCATGTTACAGATCAAAGAACTTGTTCTTGATAACTGCCGGAGCACGCAAATTGTGGGTCTGACAAACGAATTCAGCGCCCTGGAGTCATTAAGTCTTATCAACGTGGGTCTTACCAGTCTAAAAGGCTTCCCAAAGTTGTCCAGTCTTAAAAAGGTATACACACATATCGCGAAGCACCTGTACAAGATACTCATTGGCAGAGTTGGGAAAGTTAATTTATTAAAGACGGAGGAAATCTTATGAGTCGTCAGAAGTAATTGAAAAATTTCAGAGGGTTGCTTGACCATGTCTGGCAAATTTTTATGTTCAAAATCACGACGTTTCGACCATTGTTTGTGGTCCTCCTCAAGTGACGAATTTGTCAGTAAATCAGTATGGTGAAGTAAAGGAGCTGATCGTGATTTCACAAACGACAGCACATGGCCTGTCATGTCTGCTCACGATACCATCACTTGAGAAGGACCGCAAACAATGGTTGAAGCGTCGTGATTTTGAACATAAAAATTTGCCAGACATGGTCGAGCAACCCTCTGAAGTTTTTCAATTTATGAAAGTATCTGGTTACAGTTACAAGTTGCCAATTCTGAAAAGTAACGCGTCACAGTTACTCAAAACGTAACGAATCGTTACTTTGCAGTTACTTTCTTGCAATGGGAATAAAAACATCAAATCTGCATTTGAATTGTAAAGTGTCGATAAAGGCGTTTATGTCCTAATGCGATCTGTGGAGGTTTAAAAAATATATAAAGCAACTATTAATGTAGCCATTAAATTAGTTACTAGTTATCGAAAGGATGTAACCGAGTTAACTTGCAGTTACAGATGGAGAGAAAGTAACGAAGTTAAGTTAGAGTTAGAGTCACCAAGCAAAAGTAACTGTAACTTCGTTACAAGTAACGAGTTACTTCCCAACCCTACTTTATTGGATTATCATAGAAATGACATACGTAGAAGTTAAGGAATGCGCGATTTAGCAAAATAACGCTAATAATTTGCCCCTGTCGCTCAAACAAATTTCCTCTCGTGTCTCGCGAGCATGTACAAATCGTCTCTGTGTTATGCAGTTGGAGCTAAGTGATAATCGGATTTCGGGCGGTTTAAACCTGCTTGATTCGAGCCCCAAGCTGACTCATCTGAATTTGAGTGGAAACAAGATCAAAGATCTCGATACGCTACAGCCGCTGGTAAGTTCGCACGTTTATTACGGAAATCTATCGCCAAGTAAAATCGCTAACGCGAAGCCTTCTCACATTACAGAAAGAGTTCAAGAACCTGAAGAGTCTGGATCTGTTCAACAATGAAGTGACAAATATGGATAATTACAGGGAGAAGGTCTTCAATCTTATTCCCAGTCTGCGATATCTTGACGGGTATGAAATTATACTGCTGGGTTCGCTTTCTTACTTGGTTTATGTTTTCTCAAAGCGACTGATTGTGTTTGGTCTGTGAATGCAGATATGACGCTGATGATTGCGAGGTCGACAGTGAAGGGGAGGATGACGAAGTCAATGGAAACGAAGATGGAGAAGGAGCTGGCAATGAAGAGGACAGCGAAGAAGGTTGGTTGACAGTTTGATTATGCGAGAATTGCAACTAAAAAGTCGATTAAATAGTAATGAATAAGCATATCAAGATATTGGGAGTTTAGATTTGCAATGGGGCACTAGCAGACAGTTTGCGAACTAATCAATATGGCGGATACGAGCGTGTTTTTAGCATTGTAAATATACGTGCTTATGTTTATTACACGAAGTAAACGAATTAAAGTATTTCGATACCATAAATAATTAAAGTACTGTGAATGCTGTAGGTATATCTTTGAAAAAAAAATGGAATTTTCACCTAAGCATAGGAAAGGACGTGATAAAGGCAGATGTTGCGCAGTAGGTTGTGACTCCGAAAAAACAAGAGACATTCATTTGAGTTTTCATAAAATACCAGAGTATGGACGTTGTAAAATTAGCAGGATCAATGCATTTGGATCAATACAATAACACAGTCACTACATGCTTACAACTGTGACTTGTGCCGGCTTTGCGCCTGAAAGAGCAGTTAATTTTTTTCAATGAAAATCACGTTTTCTATACTATCTTCAGTATTCATTTTATTAATTACTAGTGTTCCTGTTATTACATGCGGCTTCGATGTCGGTGCACTTGTTTGTAAGCACAAAGAATATCATTCTATTTTGCTTTCAGTTTTTGTTGTAGCACTGCACATTATAAACATGCCAGAATTTATGACGTTTTGACCCTCAGTCATGTTCCTGGATGTTGGCGTTGCATTCGTGTATTTACACAATTCATCTAAGCGCAACATCAACATTTTCTTCGTTTTTAATTTGCTTAAAAAACCTGTTAAACAACTTGCGTCTATATGTCAAAAACACGCCCGCGCCGGCCATATTTATCTTGCATCACTAGCGCAACTCTACCCGCGGTGGTAATTTTCTTTCCCAATAGTTTCAGATGAAGAAGACGAGGAGTTTCTAGATGACGATCCAGGATTAGATATTGTCTACAAGGATAAAATCGTGAGTTCAGCTCATTTCACATTTAAGTAATTTATAGGGTTAAACTTGAAATCACTCAGCACTTGATGAAATGTTTATCATTCGCTCATTAGTCATTTGTTCATAATGAAATCATAAGACCTCAACCTTTAACTAATCCCCCCCCCCCCATAAAAATGTATAGGTGTTATGGGTTGTTTACTTACAATTAGTATTGTAAATCGTCTAACTACACTTAATAAAATATATATATCGGGGTACACAGGAGAGTGACGAGGAGGATTATTTGGGAGAAGAAGAGGAGGAAGATGATGATGAGGATAATGAAGATGAGGAGCAGGAAGAAGAAGAAGGTATGATTTGCAGAAATATCCATATTGTTTTTATTCTTATCTGTTTTAAAAGCTAATAATCCAAACAAATATGGAGTATAAATCGAATATCGTAATTATTTCAATGAGAAAGAACTTAGTTTTATTCGCCTATTGCATACGTACAAGCAAATTTCTATTCCTTTGTACAACGGACCCGATTATGTTCTTTGCAGAAGAGTCTCCTGTTCGAGGAAAGAAAAGAAAAATTGATGAAGTGGGAGAGAATTTGAACGCTTAAGATGGAGAGGGCTGTCTCTGGTACTGTTGAATGAGTGTAAAATTCATATAAATAATAACAATAATTGCGAAGCCGAGTGAACAGCTGGGAATCAAACTAATCGACCGACCAATGACAGACTACAGTTAGTGATATGAATTTATCAGTAAATCATTGACTGCGAGAAAATTGTTTGTCTAACAACAAAAGATTTATCGTACGACAGAAAGCGGAATGTGAATGGATAGGCGTGAGGCAAACTGGAAAAGATAATGATGGCATAAAAATAGGGCTGCATTCCAGCTGGACACAGCACAGTTTTAGTTATACTAACGATATTTTATATAGAGTATATAGAGTTAGCGTATTAGTGGTGTTGCATAGAGAAGGGAGAAAGATCGGGGAGAAAAGGCACACTAGAGGAAGGGGGTAGAGAGGGGTGGGCGAGAGTGAGAGTATAAGAGAACGAGCGAGATTGCGCGTGTGTGTATGCGCGTGCGAGAGAGACGGAAATAGATCGCGGGAGGTACCGAAGTTTTACACTTGAAGGAGCATCTTGTCTGTTAGCTCCAGTCGGCCAAAGGCTGGTCACGCTGGAATGCGGTCATCGTTAATCAGTAATAAGGTTACATAAGTTACATTTTAAATACATTATTATTGTACCGTGAATAAGTATAGAGTAAACGAGGAACAACTTTTGTACAGGTTTACACCATACATCGAGGTGCATTATATGCCTCTGTGATTTTTGGGACAGAAAATAAAGAGAGAAAAATATATGTTACTCGTATACGTGTGAGCGTATATATCCGACGAGGGTGAGATGGGGGGATTAAAGAAGACGTTAAAAAAAAAACCTGAAAAGATACGGAACGTTCGCTGTGGATAATGCGCGAATCGCGCGTGTTCTTCGCGGGAACGTTCTACAGTACGAAGATGTCCGATATCAACGAGAGACGGATAGCGAATAGAAAATAATATCGTAATATTTATATTATTGTTTTCAATCGCGTGATTCCGACGACAGAGGGGCGAGAGTTTAGACGGATTACAATCCAGACACGTGGAACACACGAAATTCTCCGATACACCTCGATCGACGTGTGAGCGTTGCACGTAAACGCGGACCCGGTGTTATCCTAACTTAGACTTTTTTCTAGTAAGCTTTAAGTTCCAGATATTCTATATACAACGGCGATCGGCCGTCCAACGCATGGCTGTTAGGATTATTGTTATTTACTCTCGGGCATTGCGTAAATGTTGTGCTCTAATATAACATAAAAGAATCAATTTGATTATTACGATTTACGATATTCTCCCACTTTTGAAGATAATTGTACAGTTGTATAACTTGATTCTATTTTCTTTTATATATACAATATATATTATATATATAGATATACCTAAGGCATCACAGCTTTATTGTATTTTCTTTTATCTATCTATTCTATATGAGGTCAATATTCTTATTTAGCAAACAGAAAAAGAACGAAATATCAAGAAACATATTTGTTTTGTTTTAACGAAGATTTTTTTAAAAATTTAATATTCAATTTTTTAGCTATTAGATGTAAATTGAAAAGCTTGCGAAAGATGAAAAGTGACGCATTATTTCCAATAGAAAGAAGATACGATAATTCTAGGACATCCTGTGAATGCCGAAGTATGGACAAATTATGTTGATTAATAATGCGATTTTAATTTCTACGTGACATTATGTAACTGCAGTAGGCCTCAGTCTTTGGAACGAATTACTAAGGAAACAAAAGTCAACATCGTGTGCATCAAACGATTAACCTTTAATTTCTGTCTCTGAAGTTACCATTGCGCTGATACATTTCGTGATGAATAGGGAAGTGCGAGGTTGAGAGAGAGGTAATGGAGATTCATGAATATATTATGATTAATATTAAATTACGAGTATGATTTTAAGAAACAAAATATTTACACTTGCGCTTTCGCACTTTTGAATTGTACTAAAGTCAGAAACGCAAAATTAGATTTAGGGCAAGAACAAAAAAGGAAAACTTGTATGAAAATGAGACACATTCAACGAGACAGGCGCAAGATAAAGGGACTTGCAGGATTGATCAGACGATGTAGTTAATGGTGAGATTGCGACGAGTGGACTGGGACAGAGATAACCAATTAACTACGTAATCGTGTGAGAATGATGGATGGGAGTACAGTAGCGCTTGAGAGAATGCGAAGAGAGAGAGAGAAAGAGAGAGACGATCGGTTTTATAAGGAAAAAAAAAGAATAAAAAAATAATAATGCGGTAGTATCGAGAGGACCTGGCGCCTCCTTGTCGCCAGTTTGGTTATGGCCTTATCCAATTTTTCCAAGACTAAAAGCAAATTTATATTAGGTACAATGAGTATATGTGAACATGTACAGGTCCAAATCTGTAAATTTCCAATCTGCAATTTGTAATTGCGGCTCGCGCGGAAGCGTTTATTAAGCGTTAAATTATAAATATAATTAAGAATTTAAATTATAAATAATTAAAAACACATTCCGCGCGCCCCGCGACACACGTGTGTACACGTAACGAAACACATATTCCCACACACACATACATACAACGCACACAGACACATACGACACACTTTTGTCAATTGCGATTTTGGATAGACCATTTAAGTAAGGGAAAAAGAAAATTTGTCTATCACCCCCCCCCCCTTCTATTATCAAATATTACATCTGTGTACTGTCTGTCTGTTCCGTTGTTAAAATGGATTTTTATCATAACGTTTGTTTATTTCGAGCAATCCTCATCACACAAAATAAGAAAAGATAATTTATTAATAAAACCATTTTCAAATCAACGATGGTGTATCCGATATATGTATTGACAAGTGAACCTAGCTTTTGCACTTGTTTTTTTACTGCGCTTTCGGCGTTATTATATATATCTGTTTTTTTTTCATTCTCGCTTATAAGTTATTTTTAGATTCTTCAGGAAATATCCTTTATATATTTATTTTCTAACTCGCCGATCATCTTAATTGTGAGTTTTAGTCTCGCTATATCAATCGGATATACATAGATATAAGTGGAAGTATATATACATAATTGAAGATAACTATATTTTAAGGAGAAACATTTCGTAATTAATCTGTATAATTCATTTTCAATTATATTGGTTCTAAATTGAGCAATGTATCCTATAAAGTACATACAACATAGATTTTCTCGCGTAGACTTATTATTTCTAGTTGTATTCCTTGAAACTTAGAAATCTAGATCAAATAACAAATCTCCTATTACTTCTCGTCTCTAACTCACCTTTTGTTTTGCAGATGCGAGCATCCCGTCCGGAAGTGCGCCTTAGAATCAATTTAAGACGAAAGATTTCAAGTTGCCGATCGAGTTACCCGATTAAATCGAAACGCAGACATTCGAGTCTCAAAATCAAGGATGAAGTCGCTCGATCTATTCGGATCGTTTCAATTTCGGAGAAGTATTCGAGCGAAAGTGATATTCGTTGCTGTTGGAAAAACCACGCGTGTCTCCGTTTTACCAGATAAAACTTTCCTTATCTCTCCTTATCAGATATAAAAGTCAAATCCGACAATTCGGAGGTGAGTGTACTTCGACTGCAGTTAGATGCTCGAATTTGAGCGATATTGTTTTCCGACTCTTGCAGATCCGCTATTCTGCATCTATTAACAACAGCAGCTGGATTCTGCAACTCTAAGGGATTTTTGCCATGTAATATATTTGCGCAACGACAACTCGGCGATAGACATTTACGAGTCACAGAACTTAGTCGCGGTGTCGGTATCGTGTCGTCGTTTGCGATCTATTCAATTAAATCGACTTCGTTCTTGAATCTGAGACTCGAGTGTCTGCATTTCGATTTATCCGAACTCGATATTTTACCGAATGTCATCGCGCAGGGACAATATAGCGGCACTCGTACGGCAGGCTAAGGTCTAGATTTTTCATGGATTTACTTGCAAGAAAACATGTACGCACGAATTCTCTTACAGAAAGGCCGCAAGCTGTAGTCGCGTGGCGGTTAGCCAATCGACCCGCGACGTTTCTGTCGGAGCATGATCGGAAATCAAGAGTCTAGTCCCGTTCGAAAAGCCCGCCGCGCCGGGATGGCCGGCGGCGGCCGCCGCGCAGCGACCGGCGCGCAGCAACATGGCCGCCGGTGCCTCGCGGCCGTTTGTGGTTCGTGCGCCGTCGCGCTCTCAGTCCCTCTCCGCGCCTCGATACGAGTGTGTCGCGGTCACGCGAGTTGGTGCGCCGCTGTCTCCCCCCCCTTGCTGCGCAGTCTGCGAGCCGTCAACGGTCGCGTCGACGAGTTGTTCGAGTTTCTTGAGTGCTTCGCCTCTCCACCGCCTCCGGGATCCCGGCTGCCGCGCGGACCGACGCTACGGGAACATCATGGCCGAGAGCAAGGGCGCGTTAATCGCCAAGACAGTGCAAAAACACGCGGGCAGGGCGAAAGAGAAGGTAAGGTGCACGTTTTCGTAATCTCTTTCTCGCACGCTGTCTCACTCTCTCTCTCTCTTTTTTCCCGTCTTTTCGGACGGGTCGCTTCGCGATCGCGAGCGGGCGACTCCTCGACCTGTCGCCGCGAGACAGAAAATTAGCGCGAGCGGCCGGAGTTGACCATAACCTCCGCGACGTGACTCCCGACCGGAGACGCCGCCGACGCGACGCGGAAGGGGTTAATGTTTCCGCGTCACCGCCGCGTGACAATTGCACCGCGCCTCGCGATTAAATCCCGTGTTCGTGTCGCCCGTTCGAATCGTTCGCCCGGAAGGTGTAGCCGCGATTCCGCCCGCGATACGAGGCGCTCGTCTGCGCGATCCGAGATGAGAGAGAGATGAGAAAAGCGCGCGTGTCGTCGATCCGTGCGATCCGCATCCTCGCGCGCGACACGGAAACGCGCTTCCGCGAGGCTCCTCGCTCTCCGGCGGTGTGTCGATCGGATATTCTGTCATTTGCATAGAATCGCGCGCGACGCTGCCGCGATGTCGATGAGCGTGACTTACAAGTCGCTCCTGTTACGCGTTTATTGTCACCGCTGTAAAAATAAAAGATCGAAGGACAGCGGACGACAGCGGGGTTTCTCGGCGAAAAAACAAGCGAGGCCGTTTATCCGGCGAATTTACGAACGCGGCGTCTGCAAGGAGACTTCTGCAGGCGGTGTTCATAGTCGGGTCTTGCATTCAAGATCGTTTTAAGACCGTCTTCGGATGCTCCGCAGCCGATGCGAAGTGTTCTAGACAGCATCTAAAGATAAATTCAATGACGGTCTTATCTGGATACTGCGCGGGGAGAATTTTTTCCTAAAATTTCCCCCGAAAATCACGCAATCGTGGAACAGCGTGGCTGGAATTTTATGAGTATTTTTTGATACTTTACCATGCATTTTATTAGTAGTGGAAAGTCCTCTATTATGAGATAGGAGGTCTTCAACGTCCGAATTCAATCGCAAATCTTCACGATCTAACGATCGATTGTCCACTAAACAGATCTTATTCCAAGGACAATAAATTCATGGCGGAACCAACAGACGATGCCTATTAATTTTGCAGTGACTCCACAGTCTCATATCAAGAGCCTATCTCATAATAGGGGACTTTCCTCTAGAAATAGGAAGAAAAATTGTTTAACGACGTTAAACTGGCTAAGGTGGTTTAATTTAACAATTTATTCCAACGTTTCGACCGTCCAGATTGTGGTCCTCTTCAAGGAAATATCTACCTAATATTGGAGAAAATTTGCAAGCCTCTCCTCTAAAATGTATAATAAGATTTCAAAAAACTCAAAAAGTTCTTCGAAATGCCACGTTGTCCCACGATTACATAATTTTATTCTGTAAATTTTAACAGAGAAATCTTGTTATTAATAATATAGAACATATGTATGGTGTAAGATTACAAACTAAGTACACATTGTGTTGTTTTAACATTTCTTTTCGATTATTTTAATAATTTTACATTTGAGGTCAATTAACACAAGAGCAATATGTTAAATTAACGCTTGAATGTGTTAAACATTTAACACAAAAATTTTCTTTAACAAGAAAACAAATTTCCAACTGTGTGGGCCCACATTCTGAATCCTCGTTTATTGACAAAAGTGCCACTAAAATTGGTTTGAAGGCTTCTCGTTGGCCGAAAAGATTCTTTACAGCCACTTTTATCGATAAGAGAGGATTCAGGGTTTGGGTCGTAAAATTTAAGAAATTTAAACTGAGACTAAAGTTAATCTGCCTTGATTGACAAACGCGCCACTAAAATTGGTTTCGAAGGCCTCTTTGTTGGCCGAAAAGATCCTCTACAGCCACTTTTATCGATAAAAGAGGATTCAGAGTATGGGCCATAACACTTGAGAAATTTACCAACGGTACACGTTACTATTTTGGTAATTATTTAGATTAACACACCCACCTCCAATAACCTTGGGCTTGACATATATTATAGAGGTCACCCTCCTGAGTAACCCTCAGAAGGATTTAGCCGGCGCTCGTTGTTTATTAAAAAGTTATTAAAAAAACAATGTCAACCAATTATATGTAATTTTTAGACACAAATATTAAAAATTTTGAAAAATGTTTTAAACAAAAGTTGTAGATCTCTTTGAAATATACATTTTATTTTCTATTCATTTTTACTGTGCGATTAATAGTTTTCGAAAAAAATGATGAAC